CAGCATATGTCCAGGTATATGGAGAGAATACAAGTCACAGCACCAAAGTATAATATGAAATAGTATTACATCAAGTTGAAGGACATGCAGAATTGAGCAAAGTAGCAGGTCTGGACTTGAGTGCAAATGAAGACACCCTCATATATTTATACTATAAATAAGTCAGTTAAGGTAGATTGACACTTTCTCTTGCCCTCCCTTCTTGCATTCTTCTTACTGTTAGGAATTCTCATAATTTCATATAACGCCTATCATTTCAAAGAGATTGGAGGATAAGGAGGGACAATAAGGAATAGTAATTTGTGCCTTATCACTCTACTCTCTTAAACCAGAAGTCCAATAAAATCAATAAGGCCTTTTATACATCTAAAATTCTTTCATTCTTTATACACACACACATGCACACATATATATATGCACAGATCTTTATAAATTTTATTAAGTTTAATTTCTTAACAGAAACTATATTTTAAACTTCATTCTGTAACAAGATTTATTGACAATTAGTGTTTTTGCATCTAATTGGTGCTTTCATTATTAGTGAGTGACATAAACACTCATGAGTCTGGGGAAAGTCATTTTTGACAATACCTGACATAAAAACAAAAGAGCTCAGTAAGCATGTGATGCTAACTGCAAGTGGGCAGTTCAAACTCACTAATCACTCTGAGGTATAAAGATGAGGCTGTCCTTCTAAATATTTACAGCCGTGGAAACCCTATACATGGTGATGTGAGTCAGAATCAATTCAAAGGCAGTGAGTATATAAAAGCAACTTTTATAGATTAATATTTTGATAATATTATTCTTTCAATTTCCATCTCAAACATTTGTTTTAAATGAAGTTTCATGGTTGGTGTTGGAATAACTGAAAATTAGGTCAACAATATTAGATACATAATTTTTTAATATTTGATTACACTTATATGTTCTCTGAACAAAATGAGCAGATACATGACATGAGTGCTAATATGGAAAAATAACCGAAATCAAGAGAGAACATTTTAATGACTATAATCCATTTGATAAACATCATGTCTAGAGTGAATAGAAAAAGCTATAGAATCGTTCTAAATAGAATGAAAATCTAGATTCCTTTCACTTCAAAATGATGAACTGGAATAAAATCTTTAAGTCTTCTCATAAACAGAATGCAAATTCCAGTCTCTGAATAGCCTCAGCATTAAAAGCACACATGCGGTGGACTTAAATAGATGATCCTAAAAGAACCTTTTAGAACCACTCTGAAAAGGAGATGTGGGAAACGTACCCCTGGCGCGCATGAAGGAGGCGGTGGCTTTTTGTTCTAGACTAGAAATAGCACTGGCTCTAAGGTCCTGTCTGCAAGGAAACGCAGAAGCAGGAGTAAAATGGCTTATTTTGAACTTTTGAAGGACAAGAAACTGTCACCCTGCAGAGCCTCTTGGAAAGGTAACTATTGATTTTTAAAACAGCGAAGTTGTACAGTGTGTTCTCCGTCACTGGAAGCATGGTGTCATCGAACATCACAGTTTAGTTTTCATGTCAACAGCATTCACAACTTTGAAATCTTGGTGCATATCTTTGAGTTCACTTTGCTTCCCTGTAACCTTTGACCCTGTATGCATGATCCCTGAGGAAACACTTTCACCAGGTAGTTGGCGATTTCTCAGAATAAATAGAATCATTAAGGCTGGAATATAGCTCGATCCTCTTAGTGCCGCTGGCAGTCCAAGGTAGATGTACCTACACACACAAAAAAGGAAAAAAGCTAAATTATATTTTATTTTGCAAAACAGTGTGATGAGTACAAACTGACTTTGCATCTCTTTAAATCCTAATATTTTATTCTCATAAGGACAAGAGCACCTAACTGTTTGCATATTGATCTTGTATGAGCAATCAGCATGTTGTCCTGTCTTATTAATGTTAATATTTCAAAAGTTTTTTAAATTTTCCCATCCAGAAAATTCAAATGTCTAATTTTTTATTGATATTTTTACTTTACCATTTTCCCCATTGAATAGGAACTCCCATTTAAATGGAATGTTGACAAGTGATAATAGTTTTACTTTAGTATTTAGTAAGATGCTTTCAAAGAATCCCCATCCATTACAGTAGTTTTTAGTTTGTTTTATCGATGGCTTTTGATGGGCTAAAAAGCCTCCTCCCTTCTATTTTGAATGTGCTCAAGGTTTAATTACGATTGTTCAAATTAAATCATTTTTTACATCTAAGATTTTTCTCCTTTACTCACAGGATGTATTTGTTGTTAGGAGCTACAGTCAATTCTGACGCGTCGCTATTGTGTGCGTAACAACGCAGCACTGCTCAGTCCTGCGCAGTCCTCACAATTGTTCTCACGTTCCAGCCCTTTGTTGCAGCCACTGGTGAGACATCTTGAATGCTCGCCTCTTTCCCACTGCCCGCCGCTTGACCAAGTCCCTCTCCAGGGACTGGTCTCTCCTGATACCGTGTCCAAAGCATGTGAAACAGTCTCCCATCCTTGCCTCTAAGAACCATTCTGGCTATACTTCTTCCAAGACAGCTTTGTTTGTTCTTTTGGCAGTATTAATAGGCTAGATTACATTAACATAATTATTCTAATGATGAAGCCCTATGGGGTTTTCTAGGCTATAATCTGTTTGGGAGCACATAGTTCCCCCCGGAGGGCCTACTGGGTGGGTTTGAACTGTCAATCATTTCGTTAGAAGGAAATTGCTCACCGAGGCTTCTTTTTCAGCCATCACGAGAGTCAATATGCTAGTTTTATTAAGTTGTTTGTATACGAATTTCTAAATAAGACCAGCCTATTCCCCGTTTCCTTATGCTGACCTTATCCAATCTGAATACCAAGATTTCACTGACTTTGAAAAATTTAGATTTTTTTTCTTTTTCTTAATTAACTTGTATAATAGGTATCTTCAATTTATTGAAGGCTTGATCAAACTACCCTTATAAGTATCTGGAACTGGAAACTTGAGAGATGGGGATCTTAGATAAACATGTTTAAATGACAGTAAGAATACTCGTATTTTCTATTAATTCAATACTATATATATATATCTGGTAATATCCAAAGCAGATTTTCTCCTTTCTTGATTTATGGTTTATATTTGTAGGTCAGTACAAACTCAAAACCATAGGGTCAAAATATATAAAATATACTAGAAACTTTTTCTTGATGAGGTTTACAATATTTACAATAAATTTGTAGTCAGTCTCTTTATTTCTCTGAATAATGCCTTTGGGGAAAGAGTGAACATTTTATTGTGGTTTGAGTGAGAGTTTACGTCGCAAATTGGTATCTCATTCCTTTTGTTTTGTGTAACCCCTCAATTTACCAACACTCTCCATTTGCACCCTGGATTGCCCATTTCTATCCACCTAGCTTTCCTGACCAATCCTGCCCTCTGGGGTTCCTATGCTTAATTGTTCTAAGCATCACACTCTTCACAGGTATTATAATTCACTTTATGGGCCTGTCTATTCTTTAGCTTAAAATGACCTTCAAGACTGGGCTCAGTTCTAGGTTTGAAGCTTACCAAGTGCCATAGTCCCAGGAGTTCCAACAATCGCCATTAGACCAGTAAATCTACTTTTTTAATATGATTTTGAATTTTGGTCTACGTTTTTTCTCACTCTGTTCAAGATTTTCCACAACGATATTGATCATAACTGTCGTTTGGAGTCGCCGGCCAAAATGTCGTTTTGCAGGTCTCAAGCTTGTCTAGACTGTGGTTCTTGTGATCCATTAGTCCTTTGGACTAATTATCTTTTTGTGTCTTTGCCTTTTCCATCTTAGACAGGAAGGGACAACTAGCTGTATCTAAGATGGTCACTTGGAAGTTTTTAAATAATCTCTGGGTAATACTTATGAGATTTTTTGTTTGTTTCCTTTACCTTGAGGTTGAGGTTTTGAAATTTATATTATTCTGCTGGGTCCTTCAAATGGACATTTTTTCTGAAAACCCATAGCTCTTCAACTATATAGATCTCTAAGCTATTATGTCTTTAATTTATCTCTGCCTTATCCATCTAGAACTTCTTTTATAGACACGTTTAATTATGTAGTCTTTCTTATCACTGAGGTTGTGGGGTCTTGGGGGGATTTTTAAATCTCTTCAAATAATGTGTTGCCTTTTAGATAAATACTTTATCATCCTGGACACAGTTTAAATATCCAGAAAAGTAGCCCAAACAAAAGCTGTCAGTGCCTCTACTAACGTGGTACATAAAAGGGGAAGTACTGGTGGGCAATCCTTGTAGAGGCCAGGGCAGAGGGAAGGTTTTAGTTGAGAGGTAACGAAGAACTAAGCTAATAAGATGCTGCAATGATGGAAGAAATATAGATACTTTAAAGAGTAATTTAATTTTGATAGTAGCTTAAAGATAGCCAGTATCTTCACTAACGTATTGACTGCATGGCAATTGAGCAAACATTTTGAAAGGCTAGGTTAGGGAAGGCATGCGCTAGAGCACAAATAAGGGATTGAAATAGAAGCACCAATATTCATTCTGAAAATAAAATCAAAGTGTGTGAGATACTTGAAATTGAATATTAAATGTGAATTTTACCATTTTATGTAATCTACTGCTTATTAGGTAGTTCTAAAAAATAATCATCTTTACCTGAAGTTAGTAGAATCGTATATCCTGCATGCCCCAGGCTCACCACATTTCAAAGTTCCCCAGTGTAAACAGGTGGAGTCCACTAAAGCTCCAAAATATATAGGTGCAGGAATTCCAGCTACAATTAAAAAGGAGAAAACTCACTCAACAACATAACTATCAGGACACACTATTTTGCTAGTGAATATTTTTCCTTTCCCTATTTGTAAAACAAATAAAGCTTAGTAAAACGTATAGCTAATGCTCACATGTTACTTTTATAAAGTAAAAGTCAGTTTGTCTATAAAGGTTCTCCATTTTAAAGGATAGGTAGTCTGATGAATAAATACAGTTTGAAAGTTATTGCTGAGAAAAATATTTAATTAAAGATTCCACAATTTTTGTTTATTGCAATGATTTGAGCCAATCGTGAATATTGTAACAAAACCTTCCCCGCTCATTTGATTAAGTATTCTAATCACTGCTTAAGTGTATTAAGGTCAGTGGGGTCTTTTTTTTTAAGTACTTTTATTGGGGCACTCACATCTCATCACAATCCATACATTCCTCCAGTGTGTCAAGCACATTTGCACAAATGCCGCCATCATCATTTTCAAAGCATTCTCTTCCCACTTGATCCCCTGATATCAGCTCCCAATTTCTTTCCCCTCTCTGCCCTACCTGCCCTCCCTCACAAACCCTTGATAAGTTATAAATTATTATTATTTCCATATCTTACATCGTCCCCTGTACCCCTCACCCACCTTTCTGTTATTCGTCCCCCTGAGAGGGGGTTCTAGGTTGATCCTTGTGATCAATTCCCTCTTTATCCCCCACCCTCCCCTAATCCTCTTGGTATCTCTACTTTCACTGTTGGCCCTGAGGGGATTTGTCTATCCTGGATTCCCTGTGTTTCAAGATCTTATCTGCAGCAGTGTGCATGCTCTGGTCTAGTCCGGTTTGTAAGGTAGAATTGAGGTCATGATAGTAAGGTAAAGGAAGAACCAAAGAGCTAGAGAAAAGTTGTGTGTTTCATCGGTGCTGTACTGCACCCGGACTGGCTCATCTCTTCCCTGTCACCCCTCTGTGAGGGGATGTCCAATTGTCTACAGATGGGCATTGGGTCTCCACTCGATGCCCCCACCCCAACATTCACCTTGAGTATAGTTTTGTTCTGGGTCTTAGATGCCTGATACCTGATCCCATTGACACCTCATGATCACACAGGTTGGTGTGCTTCTTCCGTGTGGGTTTTATTGATTCTGAGCTAGATGGCCACTTATTTATCTTCAAGCCTTTAAGACTGCAGATCCTATATCTTTTGATAGCCAGACACCATCAGCTTTCTTCACCACATTTGCTTATGCACTCATTTGTCTTCAGCAATCATGTTGAGAAGATGAGAATCACAGAATGCCAGATTGTTAGAACAAAGTGTTCTTGTGTTGAGGGAGTACTTGAGTCGAGGCTCAATGTCCGTCTGCAACCTTAATTCCAAGGAAATCCTCCCTCTCTTAGTTTTTATTCTTGCACTAATTGTGAAGTGTTTCTAATAAGCAAGGGAAAGTATTTGCTAAGCTATTATTCTGAGAGAGTGATGTTATAAGAAAACATTTAATAATGGTCTGAGAATGGTGAGAAAATATTTTTACCAAATACTCTTGTACAAAATGTATGTATGCCCACACCAAGAGACTTCTCTTCAGACTTGATACACCTGAAAAATAAATTCACAAGAGGTTTTAAGTCTACCAGTGTTTATTACAAGGACCTATTTCTAGCAACGAGGGTTAGCAAATGTCTAACCCTCGTGGTCAGACCTTGGTTATTAGAAGACAATTGATCCAGTTTGTAGTCTACTCAGAAGCCCCATATCTGGCTTTTGTCATCTAACCAATGTCAATTTTGCTTGTTCATTTTCTATCAGAAAGTTGGTGAAGAAGAAAATGATTCGTGTCAATTTCCACCTTCATCGCCTCCTACCAAATTAGCCTGCTGGCGCTGGTATGTAAGTGCTGCACTACTACTGACCAGGCGGGTGATTCCAACCCATGGATGGTCGGTCTGCTCCAGGAGAGGCTGACAAGGCCTCTGAAACCCTAGATTGTGTCCGTGTGAGTTGGCATGGACACGATGGCAGTGGGTTGGTTTGGGTTTTTTTTTTCTGATTTATTATCTTATTTGTATTAATAGTTCTTTCTTCTAATGGTTAAACTTCTAGCCTAAAGCCAGAAACAATGAAGCTCTAGCTATATTCAAATAATTTCTATTAACAGCATATTAAAAAAATCTAAGATTTTATGTGAGTAAATTCAAGGAGGCAACACAGCAAGGGGAAGCGTTTTAAAAGGAAAGTGATGGGAAAATCCCAAACAAACCCATTCTAACTGATGACAATAATATTTTCAAGAGTTAGAAACCGATGCTTTCATTCTATTAAAAAATGTCCCTCCCTGCTCACTGTTTCCCAATATCCCTAGGAGTAGAAATGAAGACTATAATCCCTCCAGCCCCCCAAAAAGAAAAACTTCTGGTGTTTCATACACTTCAACGGCAGAACTGCTTTCTGCTGGAAGAACTCACTTTCAGGACTCCTCTGCCTTCCTCCTCCCCGATTAACTCAAGGATGATAAAATAATAGCAGGTCTTCTTCAAAAAGGAATGCAATAGGTTTTAGCACAATATCACTTTGATGTCAAGGGTTTTGTCTTGCTTGGATACATAATCACTGCTCATAGAGGCACCAGGGTAGAGATCAAATGAGACATTGCATTGGGGAAATCAGCTGTGCAAGACCTCTTTAAAGTGTTGAAAAGCAAGGAGGTTACTTTAAGGTCTAAGATGCGTCTAACCCAAGCCATGGTATTTTCTTTTTCTTTTTAAATCATTTTATTGGGGGCTCATGCAACTCTTATCACAATCCATACATACATCCATTTGTACATTTGTTGTCATCCTCATTCTCAAAATATTTTCTTTCTACCTAAGCCCTTGGTATCAGCTCCTTATTTTTTTTCCTCCTCCCCTGCCCTCCATGAACATTTGATAACTTATGAATTATTATCATTTTGTCATGTCTTACACTGTATGATGTCTCCCTTAACCCACTTTTCTGTTGTCCGTCCCCCAGGGAGGGGGTTATATGTAGATCCGTGTGATCAGTTTCCCCACCTTCCCTCCACCCTCCCAGTATCACCCCTCTCACCACTGGTCCTGAAGGGATCATCCACCCTGGATTTCCTGTGTTTCCATTTCTTATGTATACCAGTATACATCCTCTGGTCTAGCCAGATTTGCAAGGAAGAATTGGGATCATGATAGTGGGCGGGAGGAACCATTAAAGAACTAGAGGAGAGTTATATGTTTCATTATTGCTACCCTGCACCCTGACTGGCTCATCTCCTCCCTGAAACCCTTCTGTAAGGGGATGTCCAGTTGCTTACACTCTGCACTCCCCCGCATTCACAACATTATGATGTTTTTGTTCCCTGATGTCTGATACCTGATCCCTTGGACACCTCGTGATCACACAGGCTGGTGGTATTTTCAATTGTCTCCTATTTCTGTGAAAGTTAGACACTGAATAAGGAAAAACTGAAGAAGAATCAATGTGCTTGAATTATAGTGATGGCGAAAAATATCGAAAGTACCATGGACTGCCAAAAGAACAGACAAATTTGTCTTGGAAGAAGTACAGCCAGATTGCTCCTTAGAGGCAAGGAGGATGAGACTTCATGTCATGGACATGTTATCAGGAGAGACCAGTCCCTGGAGAAGGACATCATGCTTGGTAAAGTAGAGGAGCAGGCAAAAAGAGGAGGCCTTTGACAGGAGGACTTGACCGTGACTGAGACAGTGAGCTGGCATGTAAAAACCAGTATGAAGAGGACACCAGATGAGGGGGGGGGGTTTGCTAGCTTGTACTTAGGGTCACTCTCAGTCAGAATGGACTTGACAGCATCTAAAACATCACGCTCTTGGGATGGTTTGGGTACAGTATTTTAATGGATTCCTCTAAAACTCCATAAAGTAAGTAGGGCACTGCCGTCCTTAACCTTATCTATCTGACACAGCTTCTTGAGAACTACATCATCAATTCCAATTAAAAAAATTAGCTTAAAGATATCAGATTGTCTCAAACGAATCTGTTAAAAGCCATACAAAGCCAATCAAAATTCACACATAACTCGAAAAGACTCAGAGTTGAGAAATCAATTTGGAAAGAAAAGAAGAAGCGAGAGTAAAGCTGCCAAGAGTGTAAAGGTGAAGAAGACTTACCAAACGAGATATTAGCAAATCCTACGCAACCGTGACTAAGTCAATATGGAACTACCAGCACATCTGCGGATGTAGATCAAAGTACAAAGCAGAGCTGTGTACACACAAGAGCTTTCAATACCAAAGAATGGACACCACAAATCAAAGAACTATTATTCATGTCACAATGCTGAAAAAACTACTAGCTTTATGTAGAAAAACTAATAATGGATATCAATCTGCCTTTCACAATACATAATGATGAACTTGAGCTGAATTAAACATCTTTATGTAAAGATAAAGCAGCAGAGATAGCAGGATAAGATTTAGAGGGATTTTTTGTAAATTGTGAATGAGAAACCTTTTAAAATATAACCCCTCACACCAAAACTTGAGGCAAAAAACATTAGTGAAATTTGAACTTAACAATAGTTTGAACTTCATCTCTCAAAGGATATCGTGGAAAGACAGCTAAAAAAGAGAGAAAGGTAATTATATCATCTAACTAACACGGCATTTATGCCTCCAGTTTACAAAGAAATCACCAAATCCACCGGAAAAATGATAGAAACTAATGAAAAATGAGAAAAATAAATGAAAAACACCATGAAGCAGATGCCCAAGTAATTATAAATAAATAAAATTTTAATAGATGCTGAAATTCACTAGATCAGAAAAACAAAAGCATTAGAACATCAGTGAGGTACCCTTTTACCCATATCAGAATGGTAAACACGCCAAGTCTTGGTGAGCCCCTAAGATGGGGAAAACTGCTGACTGCAAGAGCCCGATTCCAACCCCCAACCACTCCACAGGGAGAAGATGCAGCTCTCTGCTAATGTAAAGGGTCATGGCCTTGGTAAATCAAAGGCGCAGTTCTACTCTGTCCTGTAGAGTCACTAGGAGTTGGAATTGACTCAAGGTCAGTGGGCTTCATTATGGTTTTAAGTAAGAAATTGGAAACTCTCACGTAGTGATGATATAAGAACATAAGTGCTAGCAGTACAAAAGTTTATATATGCATGTGCCTTCTGACTCAGGATGAGATTTATAGAAAACTTCCATCTATAAAAATATAAAAACAAAACCAAAGTATTACATATCTTACAAAGGAAAGTATCCAGAGAGTGGCATATAATGCTCATATTAAAGTGGGAGACTATGGTGGATGGATATTGGGGATAGAAGGAAAGAAAAGTAAAACACAAACTATAGGAAAGTAAATTAAGAAATAAACTTTGCCTGGGCCTATGATGCTAATACAGTTTGAACTGAGAATTATAACTAACTTAATGGTGTTCCAAAAAAAGCATGAAAAAAAGAGAAAAAAATGCAACCCAATCCCAAGACTGTTTATTGGACATGAAGAGTCATGTAATTGAAATAGTGCTAATCACCCTAAGTTTGCATCCTGACTGCAATTTTCTAGCTCTGTAGATTTGGGAAAAAATAATTTCATTTTCCAAATTTGAATTTTATTATCTCATGTATATGTGTGAATGAAGGGTCTCTCTCCTACACAATATTGCCAAAGAAATAATAAGAATTAACATCTACAATAGAATACCTTACAGATTTATGAAACCCTTGAAAAATCTCTGACCATTTATTTTTCACGTAATCTTGTGAGAGAATTAAGCATTTATTATTATACTCATATTTATTTAGGAATAAATAATAATTGGTAAAATGGGCACTTCTGGAAGCTTTCTAGTCTACTGTCCTGTCCTGTAAGTTGGACTATAAGAAATGGCTGGAAGAAAGATGTGGAAGTTTGTCTAGATTGCAAACCCTATAGGGTGGTTCTACTGTCCTTCAAGGTTGCTATGAGTCAGAATGGACAGTGACAGATTTGCATCTTAAGAAGCATGGATAGTCAGTCAGTGAAATCCTTAATCAATGAATAATAGGGACCTAAATTTTTAGACAGCATGGGCCACAAGTGGCTTTCTTGGGAAAACGACCTTAATAAATGTACAGAGAGCTGTTTAACTCAATAATGAATATAAACGTTGTACCTCAAGAGAACCATATATCCGGGTATGGCAGCTAAAGAATAAATGAAACTACTGAGAGTCGACAGTATTAAAAAGTACTGGAGCATCAGGGCACACGTGTCTCCTTTGTCACACAGTCCAAGAACAGCAGAGGAATTTGTCGATGATTGAAGGCAGCTACAGTTTTGGAACACCTGTCAAAAAAGAACATACAACTCTCCTTAAGGAAGGAAAACTTTGGAAGGCAAACTTAATTTTTTATTTGCACATGCAACAAAATCAAGTTAGAAACTATACCCTTTATCTCATATCTTTTATGGTGTGTTACAGGATGAAAGAATGAAACAATGTTGAAGAATAGCTTCAGGGGAAAATGATATTTTGTTTCTACATATTTAGAGTAAATTTGCAATAGCTCAGCTTTTGCACATTTAAAAAATATTAAAACCGTGTTGCCACAACAGTAACTATGACCAAAAAGTGTGTGTCAGAATGCTCAACTGAATGTTTAGATATTTATAGATAAATGTTTTTAAATGTATAATTTATTTTAAAACCGAGTAAATTCAATCCTTTTCTAATTGTGAAATGTTTCCAACTCTTACTCAATACCAAATTTATACTTCACTTTCCTATTCCTAATATTTTAAGTACTGTGATAATTTTGAGGCAAGAAAATCTGCCTAGTTTTATTTTCTTAAAATCTCTCAGAATATGGGAAATACACAAAAAAGAGGAAAAAAGCAAAAATAAATGAGGTAAGAGATAAAACAGATGGTACCCAGCTAACATGCCTACCACCATGACCACAATAGAAAATCTCAGATAGAATAGGTTGGGCAGGGAGAGGATGTAGAACAAAATGAAAAGTCAAAAAAGAAAAATATGAAAGTAGGAGCCCTGGTGGTGGAGTTAGAGCACATTAGGCTCTATCCACCAGGTGACAGTGCAAAACCACCCGCTGCTCTGTGGGAGAAAGATGAAGCTTCCTACTCTTATAAAAAGTTACAGTCTTGGATCCTCTCAGAGGCCATTCTAGTCCATCCTATCCTGTCCCATCTTATCTTACAGGCTTGTTACTGCGATCGGTGTGGTTTGGGTTTGGAGTGTTCTGAATGAGACTTGAGGAACCCCCACACTATAGCTCCCATAAAGCCTTTTAACTTGAACCTGGAGACACTTCCAGAGACCAAATAATAGACGGGGCTATGAAACAAACAATATGAAAAGTGTGTTCCTCAGAAAAAAATCAACTATATAAGATCAACTAAATATCAGAGAACCCAAGAAGGCAATGTTGCAGACTCATTTAGGGAATTGCGACCAATGCTATGCATGAACCAATATGTTTATGAATTATCAATTGGGAAAATGAATTTCCTATGTAAACTTTCACCAAAATCACAAAGAATTTTCTTGTTTGTTTGTTATTCATGATACCTGACCTGCCAAATTTCTCTCAGAAATCAAAATATTTCAGACAAAGTGTATTTTAATGCAATTTTTCTAAATTTCAACTTTTGGGAAATTATGTATCTGTATGCTTAGGAGTAGGAGGGTTTTAAATAAGATCTAGGAAATCAAAGGTAAATCCACCACATATGAAGAAAAAACAGATTTTCTGCATACAAACAAAAAATAATAAGTTGGTTTTGAAGAAAATATTCTATTTTACTTTTTATTCAATGAAGGCTCAGACCATACCTGAAAGGCATCAAACAATTAGACAAAATGAAAGTTTTATTATAAAAAAGATCCAGGCTATTACCATATTTATCCCTGATCCAATGGATTCCTTGCAACCAGCCAGACAGGCCGACATGTACGACAAGCCATTGTCTCCACAAACAGGGTCCCAAATCTTAGATGGGCAGCTACAGTTCAAGTTGCAGTCAGCAAAGACAGTACTTTCCACATATAAATCATGTTGCATTCTGAAACAATATAAAATGATGCAATGGATATTGAAGGATTGTTCTTTTTCTCCCTTTCATTTCAATTCCCAATTACGTTTCCTCACCTTCCACAACAAAGCAAGGGAGATCTGATCAAAGATTTCATATGCTGAATCAGAGATTTCTAAACTTTGACTTCTACTACTTTAAATCTTTATTTTTTCCTTAGGGCCTTCACAGTCTAAAAAGTAGTCCTGGGGTTATATTTCAAGAGAAGGAAGATGCAGTAAACACTATAGATTTAGTACCAGGTTGGAAAGTATAAGGAGAGCTCCGGTTGGTGCAAGATAATGCTAGGTTTATATTGTCAAATATACAGCTTTGAAACAGTTTTAAGGATAAAGTGTGACTTTATTCATAAGCTTTATGACTTCTTATTGATGAGAATGTATCCCGAGGCTGACTATTGAACATATCACAAGTGGACGGGTATCAGCTATTCTCTAAATGCCTGAATTGACTAAAACAAGGAATAAAATATGCAAAAAAACAAAGTTAAGTCAAAAAACCCTTACCTGGATCAGAGTAAGGTGTTCTTAGTCCTCGCCTACTACTTAAAAACTCTGTGCTCTCGGACACTCATTTTCTCATCCATAAGATAGCAGTCATAAAATTAGCCTCTTAAAATTATTCTGAAGATTCATTAGAGAAATTAACAAAGGAAGTTTTATGGCTATTCATTTCTTTATGGTCTGTTTCATCCTGGCCCCTTGATTGAAGGGTGACTCCCATTACCAAATGACTCCTAAAGACCCAGGTCTAAATGGATAATCAAACCCACCCAGATAATCAAATCAACTGCACTGAGCCCCCACGCACTTCTAGTCAAGTGCTGCAAACCATCAACTGTGTGGTCTTGGTAGTTCTTCATAGGAGATACCTGCTTCAGTCTCTGCATAGACAGTTTGTCAGTTCCTTATTTTAAATAAATAAGCATTAACTGAGTGTCTACCACAGGCAAGGATTTTCTCAAATACTATCAGAATTTAAATATCAATTTTACCTACTCTGTGAGTTTAACAACATGGCAGAAATGAACAAGTTCAGCCAGATTTTACGACAGCAACATCAAACCCTAGAGCTATCAGAAAGATCAAAATCTGCACATTCTATTTACAAGGTGAAGTGTGAATATTTGAGTAAACAAATACATCCTTCTAGTAAAAATAAGGAGAATTGTTTTATGCTCAGTGTAGCATAAAATTGGAAGTGCACTAGGATGGAAGTCTAGATACTGAATTCAAGTCTTAGCTCAGTGACTACATCACTGTGTGGTTTCATACATAGTACACCATTTCTTTGGGAATCAGAAAAATTAGAGATGATTGTACTCAGCAATCGTTAAGATTCTTCTTGATTTTAAATACTGTTTCTTTATAGATGTGGTTAAAGAGCTTTACCAGGAATCTCTTGGTCATTTAATCCCTCTTAATCTCAATTTCTTTATCTGTAAAATGGAAATAATAATAGCTACCTTAAGGAGAGATGACAAGACTCAACTACAATAATGCATATGAAATTATACTTTTATATTTTAAAATATTTCACTCTTTTTTTCCTTGGTAATGTTATTAAGAATATTTGAACATTTGAAGGTGCCATATTTTATTTTCGCTGATTACTTAATTAACTAAATGTGCCTGCAAAGTAAATTTTTAAATTAGCATCAATATGCAAGCCTTCATATAAACTCAAATAATCCTCAAAACTAAAAACTAAAATTATTTAATACTGTAGATATAACTATGCAAATGATATATGAAATAAGTGAAGTATAATGTATCATGCACATGTATACTAACAGCTGTTATTTAAAAAGCATGATTTCAGTTGGAGAACTGCATACCCTTCATAAGATGTGGTTAGACCAGCAACTGACGCATTATCACAGGTTGTGAGAAAACACAAATAGTAGAGAAGATATTCAAGTAGCGATAACCAACATCCTATGTGGGCAGCTTGCTTGACTGTAATCTTGAACTTTTTCATAATTAAGCCACCAACAATGTATCCAATGCATATTGGAGGTAAATTATAAATGCCTGTAAATGGAAGCAAAATATTATTTACAAAGTGATTTATCAAGACAACAAATATTGTCATTTTTATCGATTGTATCTTATATAAGAAATCATATTGGCCTGACTCACAGTGACTAGGAGCCCTGGTGGGGCGGTGGTTACGAGTTGAACTGTGATCACCAGTGTCCGCTGTTCAAAACCACCAGCCGCTCCTCTGGAGAATGATGGGGCAGAGGGCTTTCTACTCGGGTGAAGAGTTACAAGTCCTGAAACAGCGCCGTTCGACCCTGTCGTACGGGCTGCTATGGCTTAGCATCAACTCAAGGCAGTGAGTTTGAGTAACTCACAGTGAGTGATTCTGACTTGATTTGATACCTGTTGGTTATACGTCACAGCTTTCCATATGGATACACTCAGTTAGGGTAATTTCTGAAAAGTGTCCTATAATTGCAGTGTTCTTTGTAGAGACCACAGCCCAACATCTTTTCTTAGCATACAGTTGAGAAAAAAGTCAACACAGACTAACAGTTTCCAGGCAGTGGCCTGGTTTCTAAACTCTTCCTGCTCTTCCATATTATATAAAGTAGTTCTCACTGTGAGCTGATTGAACCAACCCTCACCTACGACCACTGAGTTGATTCTGACCCGAAACAGGGTTTCTGAGACGAAATCTTTAATGGAGCAGAGAGTCTCATCTTTTCTCCGGCAGCTTTTATGCCACTTCAAAGGCTTCCATCTTTTCCTTGACCTAACAGCACAACCCACTGTAGTTGAGTCCAGTCCCATAGATAATGACCTTATAAGACACAGTAGAATTTCCCCACTGGGTTTCCAAGGCTCCAAAACTTTACGGAGACTAAATGCCACATCTTTCTCCTGTGGATGACTTCCACTGCCCAACATTGTGGTTGCGATCAAGACCTTTGACCCTTGCACCAGCGCAGTGCCTGCTTGTGCTAGATGCCAAAAAACCAAACTCATTGCCATCAAGTCAATTCCAGCTCATAGTGACTTCCTGTTAGGTTTCTGAGGCTGTAAATATTTATGCTAACAGATGACCCCAACTTTCTTTCAAAAGAGCTGATGGTTTCTAACTGCTAACCTTGCAGTTAGCAGCCCATCTCTTACCCCACTATGCCACCAGGACAGGGCAAGCTTGGGCCGCATTACTTTCAGTGGCGGGGTTTGTTTAATGGACTGCCTTCTTGGGAGAGCTTGATAAAAATCTACTCCTGAACTCCACAGCAGAGAGTCTGATTTAGTATGTATGCATTAGGTAGCCAGAATACAGATCTTAACAAAGTATTCTACAAGATTTGGATCCAATATCTAGAAAATTCACTTTTTAAGGCATAAAAAAAAAACTCCAGAGAAAATATCCAAGATAGGATAGAACTGCTGGATTAGAGTTCACAGGAAAAGCAAGGATCTACAAGGCTGCAGAAACACTTAAAGCCACCAGGGGGATCAGGGAACTAAATTAGGAAAAAAAGGCAAAACCCCATAGATTAGAGCTGAAATAATCCAATTTAGGAGTAAAATGTAGAATCCCAATATGATAACTCAACCTTCCTCATTTAGACAAAATGTCTTCCTAAATTTTTATCTAGTTTTCCATTCTCCAAGGTCTCCACAAATAGGAGCACATTATGATTTTGAATTCTACCCCAGAAGGATAATCCTGGTCTCTTTCCTTCCCAGCTTCATTTCTAAAGTCCCCCCTTGGGACTTTGGGCTAAGGACAACCATGTGAGCATGAAAGCTTTTGTTGTTCGTTATGCTGTTAGTGTAAGAATCTCTTGCCTCTGGCTCAGTAGCATGTATCTTGTGTCAACATCCATAATAACACGGGACATCAGCCTGTTAGTTTCACAAATTGGGTAAAACCTCAGATTGTTTTAGAGTCCTTGAGGATAGAAATACTGATTAACTTTAAACTTTGTTCAAAATGTAAGACTGATCACATCCATTTACGTCAAACCAGTAGAAGGGAGAAAATGGTTATAGCAAATTCAATGGCAGTAAGTCGTGGACAAAATCAAATAAAATGAAAAAGAAAAGTGTAACTATATTAGATTTCACATTAACTGTCAATAGGTCACAGTTGTTTCTTACAAGATAAGCCTTTCATAGCGGATTTTTCAAAAAGAAGGGAAATTATACTGAGACAGGAGACTTTAAGAAGTTCCTAGATCCATCATCACGCTATTCAATACATGTGGGAAAAAGCTGGCTAATATTACACTTACCTATTAAAAAGATAGCATCAGAAGATGATTTTCCATACTGCTGTTCCAGATATTTGGGCATGAAGGAGATCATATTAACAAATGCATTGAACTGTATTATGCTAATCAGTATGAAAAGCATGTAAATTGGATTGAGTAAAAGGCTTTTCATAAATGGAAAAAAATCTGAAATGAAAGAATAGTCCTTGTAAACAACCTTGGCTTTGCATTTTATGATCCATTTTTCTGAAAAAATCAATCTGCATACCCCCCCAAACAGACAAAAATTATGTTTTCAGTTTTATGATGTAATATATTTGCTCATCATTTTTCACCTTGAAAGCTAAAGTTATATCATTATTTGGTAGCAAGTTATATAATTGTCTCTGCAAGACAATAATGCAGTTGACTAGGCAGAGACCAGAACACAACAGTGTGTCTTCAGTGTTTATTTTAAGGCAAAATTATCGAACAGCAAAATATTGTTTGTATCCACACCAATTTCTTTTTATCTTTATCTTTCACTTTCTATTAGTATCCTATCTCTTTTAGAGATCATCTAGAATGATATTCCCACACTTCCCTGCTGCCTCTGTTTTATAAAGTTCGGAAGAAAATCATTTGGGTAAACAACCTCACACTCAAGTAGTGACATTAAGAATCCTGAACATTAAAATGATAATAAATTATTCTCAAATATGATAACGAATTATTCTCAAATACCAGAAAATATACTGTTTTTTCAAAACAACAATTTTCTTGTATCTGCTAATAGTTCTCAACTTGATATAAGTTCAAACTACCTGGGGGTGCTCTCGAAAATAGTAACACCCAGATTCCACCCAAGAAAATATGGATTCATTTGGTACATACTAAGGAGGATGTGAGTGCTTTAGTCTATAATAGTTCCTATGGATTCAAAGCAAGTTCACAGTCAAGTGTGTGGCAGATCTTGAGGAAGGGTGCAAAGCCCCACCACACATTTGGAGTCAAATTCGCATTTCTTGGGTCTTCGTGCATTTCCTATCTTCATGCTCCCTGTTGTCTTGATTTCCTTATTTTATATTATCCTGCTCTGCTTAATAAACATCCTATAGTCCTTTCTGAAACAAAGTATGGATAAATTCAAAAATTAGAGGGAGAAGAACCACAGAATAATGAAAAGATATGAATTCTAGTAGTAGAATTCTTATTTGTGGTTACAGTTCTTTGGAGCTCTTAAAATCACTGATGTTTATTGGCCCACCTGTGCTAGCAAATGTGTCTCAGTAGTTCAAATTCATTCTCTAAATGCCTGTGCTAAAGTAAGCTCTCTCCTAGTTTGACAATTGAACTGATCTTACAGACTGAAAAATAACTGTTAAAATCCTCCTTTCACCCATATCAAGCCTTTTAAAAGAGTTTTTGTAATCATGATGACTGAAATTTCACAGATGCTGAATTGGTTCCTAAAGATCTGAGAAGGATCTAGAATTTTCAAGGAGAATAAAAATGCTGTCCAAATCAGTAATATAATATAGGGATGATCATAGAGATACCAACAACAAAATAATACTAATAAGAACAGCAGTATTAAGACTAATATGTGTCAGAATGTCTTTAAATCTTAACACAATAATAAGTACTATTATTATTCCCCTTTTACAAATAAAAAAATTGAACCCCTTCTTGCCACTCTAAAAATCAATCATTTGAGAAGAAGGAAAGAAAAAAATGTCTAGACCACCTCCCACATGAATTATATCAGAATCTCCTGGGAACAATACAGAAGTCTTTGGCATCCCTATCTTTAAGAGGACTTCCCATGTGCTGCCATGCATGAGAAGCACTGTTCTGGAATGCTAAATGCTCTGAGCACCTAGCTTAGCCTTCCAAAGAAAACACTGTCCATGTATAATGCTTTGGCGTTATTGAAGCTCAACACAAGTAAAATTTTAAAATGAAAACAAAGGTTGTTACATGAAATGTGTCTGTGAACTTGCTAAAAATCCAGTGCACTGTTCAAAATTACCAGTGTCTTTTCTTCTGTGTTATTTTTCTTTTACAATCTGCTAGTTGGGGGATAATTTTCTCTTTCAGAATTATTATCTTTCCCTCTCCCAAATATATGGAATTATATGACCTCTTATGCTGTCCTTTTCTTACATTAAATACCAGAAAGCTTCCAGCAAAACTAGCTTTTTGGCTATAGAACTATGTTTTCCTGGGATTAATCTATGTTCTCTCTCTTTGCTCTTAACTTGACATTCTACTTTTTCCCCCACTAGGACTCTGTTCTCTATAAAATATGCCTTTCAACACACCCAGGTCCAACTATGTGAGCACATTTATAGAGTGCCTAGTTTTGGATAAAAACTTATATAAAGGCGAATGTGCGAACCTTCAACTTGCAAGTTACATAGCTGATTTTTTAAGAAGAAGTAGAAAATCAATCTAGTTAAAAATCATAGACTGTTTATGACATTGTTAATTTCAACTTGCCATCCTGTACCATTGCATATGATAGTGTTGATGTTAGACTAAAATAGAGGCATATTCATGTGAAATAACAAGAAAATTATATCATATTTAACATTTTTATTTGCCTTTAGTGAGTCCTTCCTTTTCCTTCTTGACCTCCTCTTTACGTTTCTCCTCCTTATCAACTTTAGTGACGTCAACATTCTCCTCTAGTCCTTCCTTTGGAAGTGTTTTTGGCAAAAAGAAAAAAGGAATGGCAGTAAGCACATTTACTCCTGCACAGATCAAAAAGCCAAACCACCAGGCACCAACCCAACGAGTGTCAGTAGGAGCTATGGTCAGGTCATCTGTAAAAGAAAAAAAAGATAAAATTTCTATTAGCTTCAGTCCTTATTTCTTATATGGATAATAGAAAATTACTAAAAAGAATTCTCTAGCATGCATGTCTAGAAATAAATTAGTTCTCATGTAAGAAATTTATTTTTTGGAAAGCAACTAGAGTTCGGTGACTAAAAGGTCTATTTCACAGCCACAAATAATGGCTGGATTAAAATAGATCCCCATCACTGTGATTAACCCTGTTGAAAACAAACGTAGTGGTACTGGAACAAGCCTGGATCTAGAGTCAGAAGATAAGCATTTTATTATGTTGCTTTCCTGCGCTGTTCAACCCTAACTTCTTCTCCGTTGAGTGGCGAGAATCTGGGTGTCATGTGAGGCAGCATTGGCTGTGGTCATCTGCCTGAAGATGCTCGTGTGCTCTATGTACAGAAACGGTTTTATCGAATTACCTGTGTTCACAGATCCAGTGTCAACATAAACATTCGCGCAGAATGATGCTAACAAAAGTCCAATCAAAGGACCGATAATTGCTCCAGTTTCTATAAACCCTAAAAATGAAGGAACATAGAAATGTTTAACAAGACTACAATTTTTAAAAATGTTTTATTGTTGAGTGAAGGTTAAGATTGAATAATGTTTTGCTTAAGTACTTTTGTCTTACATATTCAACTTATCGTAACATTCAACTTGGTGCACATGTTCAAAGTAATGTTTGTATCTGTAACTTCTGAAGGAGAGGCCGTATTTCAAAGCCACTTTCTCTGTTCTCTTAGGTCACAAGTAGCGATTTGCTGACAGCAAAGCCTGGGATGGTGCTAATGACACAGCCTTAGAGCAAGGTTCCTTTGCGCATTCCAGTTACAATTTTAGCAGAACTTTTAAGGAGTATCATAAAATGATGAATGTCTTGCGGTACATTTCCCATAAAGCGCTGCTCCCAAATTTCCAACTTCCTCTTGCTAAAGTAAAACAAACAAGCAAACAAAAAAAACCCCAAACTCACTGCCATCAAGTGGATTCTGATTCTGGGCGACCTGTAACTCACTCACTGCCATGGAGTTGAGACTGACGAACTCACAGCGACCCCGTAGGATGGAGTCGAACTGCGCCTGGGGGTTGGGGAGACTGGCGGGTGGGATTCAGGTGGTTCACACTGGTTGGTAAAACCAAGACCCAATTTTTTGTTGAGTTCAGCGAACCGGATGTTAAACGGCACACGCAATTGGGGTTCTCTCTAAAATGGGCGGCTGCCTAGCTAGCACATGCAATATGGAAATCACAACTTTACATTCCTTACTCTTTTTTTAATGTTCTAATACTGCAACAGCGGTGTTCTAATACCAAGCTGAAATCATAAGCTACTTTTCAGTATCTATGTATTTATTTTTTATAGCGAACCAGTTGTTAAATTAGTTGAATTCCACCACTGGAGACTGACCCTGGGTTAGCAGCTGGACTCGTAACCCACTCTGCCACCGAGGCTCCAGGGCACTGCAGGACAGAGTACCACTGCCCTTGTGCATTCGGCAGCTGTCAATCTGGACAGGAGGAGAAAGCCGCGCCGTTAGCCCACAGAGCAGCTGGCGGGTTGGAATTGCTGACCTATGCCAGCATGCCACTTGTAACGCATTATGCTCTCGGGGTCCCCATGGCTGTTCCTCACCATTAGTGATAGGTGATTCAGTGTTTATCATGTTTTCATTCTGCACTGACTCGCCCGAAGTGTGAAAAGGTACCAGAAGTTTTACTTTTGAACTTACCTATATATAAAGGAGAGTTTTCAGATTTGGCAAAGTCTTCTATATAGGAAATGCCCAAAGGCATGATGGGAGTTTCACCAATTCCACGTATGATATTTCCCACTAGTACATACACCCACATTAATGACTTAACTTCCTTCACACAAGCTTTATTTTTTTAAAAAAGAAAAGAAAAGAAGGGGGGAGGGGCAAAAGAGTTTGCATTACTGCTTTCATAGTCGATGATGACTAATCACCCAGGCAAGTCCTCCGCGCAATTCACGGCAACCCTCTACAGGGACCCCAAGATTAAAAATCTTGACTGGAGCAGACAGCCAGATCTCTCTCCTTGGCCTTATACCCCGCACCACTTGGGCCCCTTCAGTAACACGTCTAAATACTCTGGCAATAAATGCAATAGGGACAGTCTAATGACTCATTGCTGGCATAAAAATACAAATAATTTACCAGATACCATGTTCACATAAGAAAGGTTAAATATTTACAAATCACTTAGAACGAAGCCCCCTCCCCCAACTATACCCCCTGGTATCCCCATCCTTATCATACTTGTTGACAGAGTCCTTAGACATGCACAAGTATAAATTCGGTGCTAGAGCCAAGTCCCATGGGGCAGGAGAAATGACTATAAACATCCTTTTGCATTTCAGTGTTTAGTAGATTGTTGAAGGTATTTATATTACAAAAATAAGGTAACACTACAAAGTAAGTGGTCTCACCCTCCAGACAGCCGGTTAAGTAGTAACTATTGGGCCCAGTTGGCTGTTATGAGTGCTACTATTCCTAGACTATGTGGGGAGAGGAAAAACAAACAAGCAAGCAAAATATCTTTCCTAGACACCCAAAGACAAACCCACTGCCATCTTGTTAATTCTAACTTAGTGACCCAGTATCAGGTTTCTGAGAGTGTACGTCTTTATAAAAGCAGACAGCCTCATCTTTATCCTGAGGAGCAGTTGGTGGATTTAAGCTGCCAACCCACCAGTTAGCAGCCCATGGCTAACCCACCTACTACCTGGACACTTTATTTTTCCCCCTGAATTGATGCTATCCTCATAATATTTAAGCAAAGGTCTCACTACAATTGTTTGCACTATCTACACCTCTAATTACTTTATAGACAATGGAATACTTAGCTGATAATAATTCACATTTCTACTGTGTATACTGTAACAACCAAATAATTCTTAATAAACAAATCATTCTCAGTCCCTAGAACAGCAGTAGAATAGCACAGAGTAGGTTAAAAGAAATTAAATGGGAAACGATCAGCAGATGTCTGAAGCCTTAGCATCTAGCTCTTTGTTATTTTTGTTCTAAAACAAAATGGCTTCCAAACCAGGAGGAAGTTCTTTGAGGTTATGTTTCTTGTGGTTGTTGTTGTTTTTTTTTAATCATTTTATTGGGGCTCATACAATTCATCACAATACATAGATCAGTTGTGTAGAGCACACCTATACACTTGTTGCCCTCATCATTCCCAAGATTCGCTTGCCTCTTGGGTTCCCGGAATCAGCTCATTTTCCTTTTTTCCTCTCCCTTCTCACTGCCCCCTCCCCCATGAACCCTTAATAATTTATAAATTATTATTATATCTTATCTTACACTGCCCGGCATCTCCCTTCACCCACCCCTCTGCTG